ACAACATCCTCAAAGCACATTCAAGGTCAAATGTATAAACCAATCACAACGCAGTTTAGAACAGCCTTTACCAGGGTCTTCTCATTTTTCACGCGCCATGCACGAAGAAGACCCTGGGGACGAGGTTGCAATGCTTGTTCTCTTGTACACACACCAAAATATTAGTGATAATATTTTCGACCCTCTAAAAACTAATCCAGGGTATACAACTCGTACTTTAGGTGCCCATTTTGGGTGGTGCCCCCCCCCTTCCCCCATTGAGATGTTTTTGCAACCTATTGGCTCTATTTGGCAATGTATCCTGTTATATATTAATGTTATTAACTTTTACTTTAGGGAAATACAAACAAAAATATCAAAATAAATTATAATATTATACCTCACAATGAGCTTGTCCAATCAGAGAACTAAATTTGTACCACATGACCATGGTATTTTTCAGCGAATACTATGACCTAGGCAATTTGAACCCTGGGTGTTTTACCCGGGGCCATGGTATTCGACTTCGAATACCACGCTTGAGCGGGAAATTCGACTTTTTTAAATGTAAAGTTATCAAAAGTTGTGTTTTGAAATTAAAAGTTAATTGAATGGTATTTGTTTTCTACTTATTTTTGAAAGGTTCGATATAATATACCATTTATAGACCTTTCACTCGTGGTATTCCACAAAAAATTACCCTGCGGGATGAAATATTCCTCGGGCTTCGCCCTCGGAATATTTCATCCCTCAGGGTATTTTTTTGTGGAATACCCCTCGTTTCAGGTCTATAACTGATAAATATGTTCCAACTTGGTACAAATCGGTTTTGCATTTTATTCAAAGATTTAATTTTTCACATCAGTATTTTCTTATAAATCTTTTTGCAGATTGCAATGAATGTCAATGCTGAAAAGTCAAATTCAGTTTCAGATGTCAACAACATCTGTCCAAATGAGTTAACCCCACTGGATGAGAATACATGTATTGGAACTGGCACATTTGGAGAATGTACTTTAAAGTTGTACAAACGGTTCAATTTAGTGGTTTTAGAAAAGCAGCTTTCAACATCAAATTTAAAAGCTGTAATTAATGAAGCTAAGTGTATGAATACACTAACACATCCAAATATTCCCCAATTGTCAGGTGTCCAAACTACATGTAAACCATATGCCTTAATAATGGAGTTTATTGGTGAAGATATGGAGTCATCCACAGTCCATCAGTTGCTTGAAGAGACTAGCCCAAAAGGTTCGCCACTTCTTACACCTGAATGGATTTCTGTTTGTGTGGATATCGTGGAAGCAGCCAACCATATCCATTCCAAAGGTTATTTGCATTGTGACCTCAAAACCAACAATGTTTTAGTATTGAAAAAGAGAGGGTTTGTTATTGACTTTGGAAAAGTTTGTCTCACAACCAAGCCAACTGCCAAGAAGTACACTTCCTTCTATCATTACATTGCCCCTGAGGTACTGCGAGGACAACCAGTTAGCTCATCAAGTGATGTATTTTCTCTCGGAGTCATTATTTCCACAATTGCCAAAACTCTTGGAAACAAATCCATGTACTCAGTTGGAAGGCAGTGCAAGGATACCAAGCCACAGGTTCGACCATCTCTCCCAACATTGATAACACTACTGCAAGGAATCATTGAAAAAGATAATAGTTAATATAAGTAAAATACATTATTCCCTTGGTAATTAAATATAATTCTTATCAGCACATAAATTAGTTAAGCTTTCATCATCAGTGCAGTCATGGATTGCTAGAGCAGTAGGTTATCATGAGGTCTTGAGTTTTTCGGCAGCCAGTCGAAATTATTTTACGGTATAAATAGCATGTAATTGAACATTAAACTAATAAATTAAACTAGATTTTATATTGTGAGTGGTTGAAACTTATGTTATCAAAACTTCGAGTCTTTAGTCAGTAGGTTGTCAAGACCTAGAGTCTTTCGGCAGCCAGTGGAAATTATTTTACGGTATAAATAGCAAGTAATTGAACATTAAACTAATAAATTAAACTAGATTTTATACTGTGAGTAGTCGAAACTTATGTTGTCAAGACTTCGAGTCTTTAGTCAGCAGGTTGTCAAGACCTAGAGTCTTTCGGCAGCCAGTGGAAATTATTTTACGGTATAAATAGCATGTAATTGAACATTAAACTAATAAATTAAACTAGATTTTATATTGTCAGTAGTTGAAACTTATGTTGTCAAGACTTCGAGTCTTTAGTCAGTAGGTTGTCAAGACCTAGAGTCTTTCGGCAGCCAGTGAAAATTATTTTACGGTATAAATAGCATGTAATTGAACATTAAACTAATAAATTAAACTAGATTTTATACTGTGAGTAGTTGAAACTTATGTTGTCAAGACTTCGAGTCTTTAGTCAACAGGTTGTCGAGACCTACAGTCTTTCGGCAGCCAGTGGAAATTATTTTACGATATAAATAGCAAGTAATTGAACATTAAACTAATAAATTAAACTAGATTTTATGCTGTGAGTGGTCGAAACTTATGTTGTCAAGACTTCGAGTCTTTAGTCAGCAGGTTGTCAAGACCTAGAGTCTTTCGGCAGCCAGTGGAAATTATTTTACGGTATAAATAGCATGTAATTGAACATTAAACTAATAAATTAAACTAGATTTTATATTGTCAGTAGTTGAAACTTATGTTGTCAAGACTTCGAGTCTTTAGTCAGTAGGTTGTCAAGACCTAGAGTCTTTCGGCAGCCAGTGAAAATTATTTTACGGTATAAATAGCATGTAATTGAACATTAAACTAATAAATTAAACTAGATTTTATACTGTGAGTAGTTGAAACTTATGTTGTCAAGACTTCGAGTCTTTAGTCAACAGGTTGTCGAGACCTACAGTCTTTCGGCAGCCAGTGGAAATTATTTTACGATATAAATAGCAAGTAATTGAACATTAAACTAATAAATTAAACTAGATTTTATGCTGTGAGTGGTCGAAACTTATGTTGTCAAGACTTCGAGTCTTTAGTCAGCAGGTTGTCAAGACCTAGAGTCTTTCGGCAGCCAGTGGAAATTATTTTACGGTATAAATTGTATATAATTGGGCATTAAACTAATAAATTAAACTAGATTTTATACTGTGAGTGGTCGAAACTTATGTTGTCAAGACTTCGAGTCTTTAGTCAGCAGGTTGTGAAGACCTAGAGTCTTTCGGCAGCCAGTGGAAATTATTTTACGGTATAAATAGCATGTAATTGAACATTAAACTAATAAATTAAACTAGATTTTATACTGTGAGTAGTTGAAACCTATGTTGTCAAGACTTCGAGTCTTTAGTCAGCAGGTTGTCAAGACCTAGAGTTTTTCGGCAGCCAGTGGAAATTATTTTACAGTATAAATAGCATGTAATTGAACATTAAACAAATAAATTAAACTAGATTTTATATTGTAAGTGGTTGAAACTTATGTTTGTCAAGACCTAGAGTCTAGACATCCGTCCGTCCGCGTATCCGTCCGTCCGCATGTCCGTCCGTCCGTCCGCATCCGCGTTTTATCCCAACCCAACCAGAAAGCTAGCACCTCCAACATACTGTACATAAGTTGGTACATAACACAAAACTTAAATCCCTCTTTCAAAAAGATAGTCTGTGGTACATGATCATAGTTTATGTCTATTTATAAAACGAGACCTCAGAGTTTTTAACATTATTACACAAGACAGTTCGCACTTTAAAGACCGTCGTATTAATACTCGTATATGTGACTGAATATAATTTTAATAAGACTAATAAGCATCGCAGGTTGTAACCAAATATTTGCGATTGTGAACCACAGTTTGCTAAAGTAGTGGAAAATTTTACACTTTCCCATGTGTATTGCACTGTAGCAAGCTGTTTCCTTAACAAATAGAGTGTCATTTTCATCGTTATACTTATTATTTCATGTCAAATAAGATAAAGTGTAAATAAAATTGAATATGAAAATACGCCTCTTACCCTTGTTATTTGTATATTAAAATCCATATTCAAGTCTCGTCTTTTTCCCACATTACTTGAGGTTTTAAAATTTGCTTGTCGTCTTTCATGGGCGAGAATAACACGTACGACTTGCATATCTTTGTCCAAATGGTCAAAGGTAGAAAATTTATATAGAAAAAGTTTTAAAACTGATTCAAAACAACAAGAACTATATTATCTGCAAAATTTTTTGCAAAAACCAGGGGGGGGGGAAACGGCCGTGGGCTCAGAATTGAGCCTGGTCAGTGGTAACTACCATGAGGATTTCGGAAGTGTTGTCATGGAAATGGCATCATTTTCACTCAAAATCCGCCATGTTTTGGCTTCACTTCGTTGACTGAACGAAGTATAGGTGCAGGTCCTCCAGTTATTATACAGCTTAGTGGAACTCACCTACAGAAACTAATTACGCATTCTGATTGGCTTCAAGCGATCTTGTCAACAAATTCGCTGATTGATAGAGAACGAAATTCTCCCTTGTTGGAACGAAACAAAAGGCGCGATATCTGATTTAAATTAACGTACCAGCGCCCTAACCACTAGCTAAGCTATACAGTACTGGACCGACTGAAGTGCAAAGCGGGATTTCCAAACTTGTGATACAATACGCCGTACATTAATGATTGGGAGATGATATTTTCTGCCGCATTCAGAAATGAATAGTGAGTTTTGTTCTTAACAAGGGATATGTACAGTAAGGACAACAACCATATTCACTTATCGAAAACTAAATAAGTTTCCACGCTGGGTTAGAATCCGGCTCACAATTGTTGTTTATTTAGTTTGATCCCACTCAATGAAACGAATTTCGCAAACGAATATTGCCGAATTGTTAAGGAATCCAAGGCATGCACCAACAATTTTAACATCTTTATCCGAAAAGACGAGAAATCTAACAATTATACTGATGTCAATGTAAAGGCAATACTGTAGTCTCCCTTTCATTTAATACTATTTTAAGATCTTGAGTAGAGGTCCGACCAGCGATAGAGCAAGGGTCTCTCAGCTTGGAAGGCAAGCGCGTTGACCGCCAGACCACAAGAGCTGATAATGTACTGTAATGCTCATCGTATGTGGAAATAGGATATTCGCCCTTGAAGTTCATATATATAATTTGTATAATAAATCTGTGGCAATTGATCGCTCACAGTTAATTACAATATTCGTATCATTCCAAAAAAAACCAGACACGTTAACATAAAGAACTTCTTGCAAAATTTAAGCAAATGAACAAAAAAATTGTGGTGCATGCATGTATCCATGGCCTTCGTTCGCTCTATATTTACGCATTAAAGTCCAGTATCCAATGTATTAGAAGAGTATATATCAAAGAATATCACACGTAATTTGCAAACTAAGTTTATTTTTAAAAAGAAAATTTCGAGAAATGTGCACATCTTTTAACTACATGTTATATTTCAAGGAAATTTGGAGTTATCTACTTGGAGATATCCTTTCTTAGCCAGGTATTCTTGTAGGTATGACGTAGTTTATCCGTAGTAGGGATGGCACTAGAGAAAATAGCAAATAATTTAATAGAAAGCCACACAGTAGAATTATACGCAATGGTAAATATACGTTTAGCAAGGGGTTCAATGATGATACTATTGTACAATAAGTTTAACTTCATTCCTGGTTGAACTACCTTCCATTATATATATATTCCGAACAAACGCCTTCAGAGAATTTAGTACGAAGGACCATCCGTAAATATTCAGATGGGAAAAACTTTTTCTGGAACGTATTACAAGATAATATTAAGACTTTTGATTCCCACTATGGCGCTAGCTATATTGTTGATCAATCAGACGCGTTTAGTCGAAAACAAATCTCTCATGAATTGCGGCCGTCATATTAGCTGCAAATAATGGAACCATTGACCGCATCTCTCATCCCCCTCACATGCACGCATACACGCACAGGATCGAACCTGAGACTCTCCTTTTTTAGAGCATCTCCACCTTTGGGTTCAAATATCCAACGACAATAGTTCGTACACATACTAAGGTGATGCCACTACGTGGAATAGGAGAAATATATAAGTATTCATTAACACATTACTTACCTTTCTGTATCTGCACACATGTCTGCAAACACGACCGCAATAATAACGTCGGTTGTAACATTTTGTGCAGAAACTTCGCACACGTTTGCAGACGACAACTCTGTATGGAATCTTTTTGATTCTCCACAAGTAACGACGTCTCCCATATCCGTAGTAATGAGGGTTGCGGTATTTGTATCTAACGATTCTGTATTTGATCACCCTACGGCATACTCTCTTGGTACATCTCACTCGTCTGCAGACACGTCGAGAGCACACTTTGGCTTTGCATACACGGCGGCATCCACATGCCTTACACCAACGTCTACCTTTCCTGTATCGTCTGCATGCCCAACCTGAATATATAAACCACATTGTAGGAAATTCGTACAAATAAAGCTTTATTAAGCCTTGTGTCAATTTTGTTGAGGTCAGAAAATAGAAACAGAGGATGATGGCTAAACAAGCATTGGTGATTTGGAACGTATAGAAATCTGACCATGTGATTACAATCGTGTGAATCTAATACAGCTTTAGGATGCTAGTGGGCTTTTACCTAGGCAGAATAATTAAGAAACACAACTTTCCTAGTTGTTAGGAGAACTGATGGTTGAATTGAATATTGAATACAAAAATATTGTTCTTGCTAATGGAGATACTCAAAGGATTAAAGTTCCTCACAAGGATATTGCGAGAATGGAACTCACTGACTCCTTCAGCCAGTTTGTCCCATCGTACGTCAATTTTATATATTTGAGATCAAATTAGAAAACTGCATCTGAAATACAATTAAGTTGCAAAATCCATGTTAGGACGTAGCTAGCACGTCTGAATGAGGACAAACAACGTGTGATATATCTGCTAAAAGTTGAAAGTTTTTTTTGAAAATTCAATGTCTATATCACACTGGAAAATCTTTTTTTTCTTCATATTTGTCTTGCTATTCACCATGCGATTCACTAACCCTTTCAATATATATTTCAACAAAGGAACTAAATTTAGAAAATTAATTTAGAAATATAATATGATAACAATGGAAAAACACTGACCTCGTTTCTCGTGCTCATCTTCTGCGATATCGGTTGTTTCGTCTACAGAAAGAAGCATATTTTTTCAATTGTTTGTTAATTCCTTTATACAGCCTAGCTAACTATATTCTCTATATTTTTCTGCGCTACCAACCGCTTTTTGGGCGGTATATTATCGAAAGAAAGGAATATCCAGTTAGGTTTGTGGAAATAAATAATATTGTATGTTGGAGGATTTGTGAATGGAAATTTTTAGTGTAAACTTTATACTAATTACTTTGGACTTGAATTATAGCAGAACCCTGGCAGAAACCAAACATGCAACAAGGGATATTAATAGCTCAGTCATATTTCTTTATGCTGATATGACAGTTACAAATTACTACATTGTATCTGGTATCTCGAAAAGAGGCAAATGACGTCCATATTGGTCTATGTATCCAGGGGCAAAATTTGAGGGGGTAGGGGGTGTGGCACCCCACCCCAAAAAGTTTCGCCCCTGCATGTACGTTGTGCTGCTAATATCATTTCTAGCTACTGATCGATGGAAAGGGTTATCCATAATTTGGACGACAAAATTTGTTCTCATTAACCAATCTCTTTCAATTCAAATTGAGTTCTCAATGCTACATAGCCATAACGTGCACACTATTAGAAATATTGGTTTACCTTCATCTTCTTCGATCTCTTCGTCTTCTTGCGCACTGTCATCTTCTTGCGGATCGTCATCTTCTTGCTCATCGGAATCTTCCGTCTCTTTTTCGTCACTTTCTGTTTCGACTTCGTTGTTTTTCGTTTCAGTCTCGTCAGCTTCCGTTTGTTCTTCGTCAGCCATCACATCAGGAGTCTCTTGCTGATCTTCCATCTTGGAAGCATCGACAGCTTTTGTCTCATCATCAGCGCGGGCAACTTTGTTGGGAAAATAATTAAATTAATTCTATCAAGCCAAAGTGTGTCGCAGTATCGGGGTCAGGATTTGGGTCTGCAAATTTAGTATTTGCCTTAAAACGGATCATTTACAAGGAATAGATTAAGGAGACAGTTGCGAGGCAACTTGACTACGTATCTCACTTGGAAGATTAGTGCACTAACAAAAGATCTATGGCTGGAAAAGCATCCTTGATATGTGGCTTTATAAATTAAATTATAAATTAAACGCCCAGATAAAAAAACACCCGGGCAGTCTATATCTTTGGAAAATGCAGGGACAGCTTGGAGCACATGCATGTTTAGGATGTTTACTGTATTCTGTGACTATATCTGTGCTGCACAATGTTGACTCATCTATATGTATAATTTTTTTTTCTAACTTGGTCATTTTCCAAACCATATTAACTTTGGAAAGTGTAAAGATGGGTTGCAACGCATTGATCGTGTGTTGTAATTTTGTATTTTAGCTTTGTTAAAGTTGTAACCTGTCTCTATTGTTTTACAATGTCAGTGTAATGTGTAGGTAGGACTTGATTTGGGACTCCTCAGTCCTGTTGTCTGTACCTTTAATCGTTTTGTTGATTGTAAAGTTTATAAATAAATAAATAAATAAATAAATAAATTGATTCACACAATACAATAATTAGAAACATTAAATACATTCATATCATACGTACCAAGCACACAGGCTGAAGCCACCAAAAGGAAACACAACAGTGCAATATTCTTCATTGTTCTTTAAGTTATCTTCCAACTCTTTCTTTCTTGAAGACCAAAGATGAAGTGACGAACTGATGAAACTCGCACCTTTTATATTCTTTTGAAGGCTTCATTATGCAGAGCTCACGACGACCTTGCCATGACTACAATATTCATTAGGGTGATTGACAACATTGTAAGCCAATATAATGAGTGCTTTGACATATCTTTTTTAGCATCTTAATTGTAAAGAAAACTTTGAAGTTAATATGCTGTAAGTTAATATAAAGAATCACATACGCAAAAGCCACTATATCTCAAGTGCTTCAGTTTTTGAACTTCCAGAAGGCATATTGTAGGCGTGTTTTTTGTACGTCGGATTTAATTCGAACTAATTTAACCACGTTTGACAAGAACACACTACCTGAAAATACCAGGAGAATTTCGGCGTTCTGAGAATGCGGTTTCGGAATTTAAAGTATTATTAGGTTGAGTTTTAGTGATTTTCATTTTGAGCAAAAGAATGTACTTGGACGGACTCCCTTCATGACTTGCACAAACAAACTTATATCACAAATTTTGATATTTTGACGATAATGCGTGATATGAAATGAACCCCTCTCCGAGGCGTATTTTGAATCTGACGATGCTGGACAAAATCAATATAACGAAATTAATCCAGAAAGCGAATCTAATTTGTTTCATGCGGATTACAACCAATGCATTCAATTCCTTCGATTTTTTTATTTTTTTTTAGGTAGCTTTCTTATGAACCATTAGACAAACATCCTTCGTCCTCGAGTTGTTTAAAGTTACAAGTTTACTGACCACTTTATAGCTAGTTATTATAAATGCTATAATAGGTCAATATCCCTGTTAATAGGGATATTTACCACTGCTGTAATATATCATTGTCATTAGCAGAAAGTTTTCAACAATAAATAAATCTGCTGATTTCAGCAAACCAAAACATATGTATTATACTGTATATAACTGAAGAGGATTAAATTACCTCAAAAATATAGTTTGTCTTATATATTTTTGTTAGCTGGAATCTATAATCCCTGACGTATGTCAGATGAAAATACATCTGCATGTCATCCTTGTCAGGTCTTGAAATGGATATTTCCTGTTTTTTCTACAGTTCCTTTCGCTGAAGCTCTTCACGCCTAAGCACGAACAAGAAGGTATCGAACTAACAGGTGCGTATTTCCTTTTTTAGCCCCTCCCTCATTGTATCCGTCTCCCCGGCTAATTATACCCCAGTTTAGAGAGAACAAAACAAAAAAGGGAAACCGAACGGTACCAAAAGAGAACTTGTGATTTTTGTGAGAACCAAACGCGAAACACTTTTCTTACATGCAATATTCGGTTATGTGCACTCGGGATTATGGATTAATATTTTATTGATCAAGTGGTAGGCAAACAGTAGCCGCGAGCTCTCAGATTGCAATAGTTGCGAGATAAACATTTTCACACCGTATATTCCCAGTAAAAACTGAAAGCCATTGTATATTAATTATATGCAAACTAGTATAAAGCAATGACCATTTTGCCGCCAATTTCTGGTTCTCAAAGAATCTGCTGATATGACGCGTGATATGAAATCTGGTTGTCACACAACCAATATTTTTATGACAGTGTTCCTATATTTTAGAATAAAACTTTGAAATTACAAATAAAATCATTCCAGAAATACGCAAATTAAATTGTTAATTAGCGTGCTGATAAGCATCTTATGGAACGTGACCAATTTTTTTTGCGATTTTATAGGCCTCGAAACGCCTTTCCTGTGTTCACGACGCTATCTCGCCAACGCTGGTAACACAATTGCTTTATCGCAATGGGAATATTTGTTCGTATATAGGTTCAAGTTATTGTTCGCGTACCGTGTGTATACTATGCAACTTAGCAAGATATCATGTAATATGTATGTAATATATGTATTAAGACACATTTCTAAAAAGGGTTGTTGAAGAAAAAATTCAAAAGAAGGTCTTAATTGTCAATGTAGTAGGAATTTGGGGTGTTGATATAATTAATAACCTGAGGGTACCGAGAATTAAGACAATATCTGAAGCACTATTAATTAGACACGATACTAAATTTGTATAGATAATAATTATACTCGTGTGGAGCATGAAGGCCCGTTCAAAATTGTCTTGTCAAAAGGTACGCGAATGCAATTTAAAGTCTTTGAAAACACGCGAGTGCACTTTTTTCAATTGCAGGATGAACAAAATATTACCAATTTATTATTCATGTCAAAAAATGTCGAGAAGGAAACTATAATGGCCGTTTATTTGAGTGCTTCCCACGTCTTTCCTGTTTGGCACAGAGTAACTTTTTTGACAAGTACAGTATATATGCATAATTGCAGTATATAATAATTAACTTTCGTTTTCCCCTAAAATGCAACATTTTCGAAACGATTTACTCGGATAACAAGCTAGCATACATAATAAAGTTTTTAATACCTTTTTTACCTTTATTTGATAAATTGTGTGTTCTATATTTATAGTTAAAAAAGAAAATTATCCATATAAATAGTCCATTATAAAAGTATCTAAAAAATTTCTGCTGCATTATAGCATTTACATTAAAATCATCTATGAAGTCATTTGCGTTCTTAAAGGGCCTTCTAGATCCCCTGACACAAGTGTTCACCGATCTTAAAATCTCAAAAGATAAGCGTGTTCTAATCCATGAAATGACTGCGTGGTAAGGTTCCCCGGTAAGTTATATCCGCCGTGGTAAGTTATCCACTCCGATAACTGCATGTGGACGACCATATTTTACACGAACACACTTGACCCAACATAGGTCATTCCAGGGAAAGGGAAATGTGTTCTTGCTTGATGTCTTTTATTCAAGTTATGAAAAGCTGAAAGGGCTAAAGAAGCGTGCGTGCATGTTCAAGTAATTATGCTTTCTGCGAAGAACATACAGTGCTTTGAATCCATTGGTTGGCACTTTCCTAAAGCGCAGTGAAAATTTTATCTTGCTAAACTATCAATCATGTTGTGGAGCTGTTTAATATAGGCTACACCACGTGTATTTACTTTGCAAATTAAAGGTTTCAATTTTTCATTTTTACGACTTTATTTCTTATTCATTCCTCGCCTGTTTATGGGTTTTGAAACATAATTCTCTCTATTACGATAAAAACTTAGGATTGTGTAATTTCTTATTTGATCACGGCAATTTTTGAGGCCTCGTGCTTTTGGGATACAAAAGTTATGTTCAGGCAATTTTTTGCCTGAATATAACTTTTGTATACATAAACTCATGTACATTTTTTATTGCAAATCTGTCAATACCCCTCCTGTTAGGCGGAATATAGTACCGCTCTAATAAATCATGCATTATCGCAATAAATATACCTGCTTGTTTCCACAAACCAAAACTTTGTATTACCGCTCTGCACACCAACCCAGAATTTATTTATATCCAATACTTAGTTACATCTACAATGAACTTAATAGGATCAAATCACATTTAAAAATATAGTTTGTCATAAATATTTTTGTTAGTTGAATCTATATAATGTCGGACGTATATGAGATGGATATTTTCGTGTTATCCTAGTCAGATCTTGAAATGGATATTTTCTGTTTCCCTATAGTTCCTTTCTGATCACTGAAGCACTTCACGCCTAAGCACATATAATCAGGTGTCGAAATAGCAGTTACGCATTCTCTCTTTTAACTGCAGCCTCATTTAACAGCGTCTCCCATGCTAATTATCCCCTGGCCCAGTGTAGAGGCGTTGAAACAAAACAAGTTCAAACCCTCTATTTAGGCACGGATCCCTATATACGCAGGCCCGGCATGAGCTAATTATAATCATTCTCGATCTAAATTAAAGCGAAATACGACTGCATGCACAAAAGTTTTTATAGCGTTCACTGGTACAATACTCATGTGCACACTCTACATTTAGTGTAAATATTATGTACAACTTTCTCAAAATATTCCTCGAACGATGGCCTGCAACTTAATATTGTTTACAAGATATGAAAATGTATTTATCACGTGGCTGTTATTTAATATCTTCCACTCCAAATGGAAAAAAATGCAACATTTGCTGTTTTCCTTAAGTTCCTTTTACTGTAGCACTTAACGTCTAAGCGCAATAAGCAAGTATCAAAATAACAGTTACCTATTTTCTATTTCATCTCTAGCCTTGTTTCCGCATTTTCCGTTTCGCCTGCTAATTATTCAACAGTCTAGAGGGGCCGAAACAAAACAAGGCCAAGCACTTCATTTATGTCTGTCTTGTATTTACTAACCATTCTCAATGAAATTATAGCGAAATATGACTGCACAAACGTTCTTTATCACGTTCACTGGCACAATAACAAAAATAAAACATTTTTGGAGCATCATCAGTGCTCGATGCATGCTTTTACAATATATAACTAAGACTAAAAATAGTATGATCTAAGACGAAGATTAGATGCATGAATAGATAAACTTTAAAATTAGTTACAATTAATCAAAATATTTTGTTAAAGATATGTTTTCACTAAGCCTTAAAAATGCCTTTCAAAAACTCATTAATAATTCATGAAGCAATCATCCAATCTTGAGTAAGAAATTAGTCACGTGCATACGTCTTTGTACCAGCTAAAGAACACTTTAACAAAAGACCATTGTTATGCAAACTATATAAAGATTTTTATATAAAGATTTTTATATAAAGATTTTTATATAAAGATTTTTATATAAAGATTTGACTTATTATGCAAACGTTTTTGAAGCCATTTAAAAAACTCGCATGTCGTGTTTTATTAGGTCTAAAGCCACTCGCGCTGCGCGCTCGTGGCTTTAAATCTAATAAAACACTCCTGCTCGTTTTTTAAATAGTACATAAAGCACTATAGTATATCATGCAAGTATGATCGGGTAATGAGTTCCACAATGTAGGAGCACATCAGAGTATATGACTGTGAAACAACTCTAGTAATCTCTGTGATGATGACATATATTAAAGAAAGCTTTGGCTTATTAAAAGCCAAAGGTTCGCTATTATGTAATCCTAAAATCAATTCTGCCTCTGTCGGGCAGCCAATAGAGGCGTTTCAAAAGCAGGGTAATGTTCCGTGTCTGTGATGGTTCTTTTTCCTGTGTACTTTTCAAGTAGCCTTCACTGAGACGGCTAAATATCGGCATGAAGTACAATTGTCTGAAAACTTAATACTTATTTACAAGACATGATCATTTATTCATCGCACAGCTATATTAATAATCCCCCAGTCCAGAATTTATGTACACAAATTGCGAGGAGCCTAAACGGAGACTAATATATAAGTATTATAAATATACAGATTTCATACCATAGTTAGCATAATGGGTGTTTGTGGATAGAAATTTCGGCGAACCGAACGTTATAATATTATGCATACTAGAATTCTTCAGAAATCGAGAAATATAGAACATAAATCTCGATTTTTACCAAGAAGTGGCATTCTTACAGTACGTGTATTATTACATTATACTGCATAGTTCTATAGAATATCTGCTCAATTATGATTATTAATTGAAGTGGTTTTGCTATACAGGAAACACTCTACTTACATATTCATATTCATATGATACACTTCACGCCTAAGCACATAAGCAGGTATCAAAATAAGAGTTAAGTATTTTCTCTTTTAGTCTCTCCATCATAGTCCCTATAGTCTAGAGGGGCGAAACAAAAAGGGCATGGATCCCCATCTATGTAGGCCATGATTCTTAAGGTAAATTAAATCGAAATATGACTGCACGAAACTTTCTTATTTGTTAGCGTTCACTGGTACAATACTGTGCACTCTATTTCCTGTTTAATTTGAACATTGCAAGTCATTATAACAAGATTTTGGAATCAATTCTGGCTCTGTCAGGTAGCATGATTCAGATCAATCCCTGCATGACTCGGGTTAAACGTGAGAAAGGAAGAAAGGAAACCCCCAGGAAGACTGGAAGAGAGCGATAAAGTCATATTGCTCAAAGCTTTACTCATATTAAACAAACGATACAATTAGCCTCTAAACTTGCAGTTTTACATTGTATTGACAGTTAGTTCTAAGTTTTCTCAGTGCATGTTTAGAAGTATACTATATATTTGAAGTGTTTGTGGATCAAATTTAAACATTATATGCATTTTAGATTTAGATCCATTCAAGTTAGTTCTATCGGAGAAAAATAGAACATAAATCTCCATATTTATACCAAGAGGTGCCATTCTTATAAAGTACTTATATATTATTTAAGTATAGCTCTTAAGGTATCTGTTCTATAATGATCATGATTATTAAGTGAAGCTATAGTGCGTGGTTTTGCTATATAAACGGAAATCGAAGTACCAGACGAAAAGTTTTAGAGAACTAAACGCGAAGCACTCTTCTTACATAAAATAATATTATGTGAACTCCGGCTTATGGGAGCTTTTAACGCTCGAAATTAACCATCTTATATAGCAAAGTATTGATCATGCAGATAACGTCTCAAGACAGTCGTACATCAATATAACTTTATTTAATTTTTTTTTTAAATTCAAAACTGCATGCAGTTCACAAGGTCGCAAATACCTTAAAAATGACAGGAGAGTTTCGATTCTGGAAGTTCTTTATGCGTTTGAATTTTAGAGATTTTCATTTCAAGCAACAAATTAAAGCAGATGAATTCCGTTTACGACTATCCCAAATTATATCAGAATAAAATGTTGACGATAAGTCCGTCGACGGAAACAAAATCCCCTGCCAAGACATTATTTACATCTGACCATAAGGACAAGTATACAAGTAGTTTAATTCATAGGGCGAATTTAATGTTTTTTTTTACGATTTATACAACATTCTATTCAATTGTTTCAATTAGCTATACTTTTTTATTTTTGTTTAGTATTCTTTTTTATGTACTCTTACACAACCCTCCTTTTGTGTTTGCCTTCATCTTAACTAACTAGCCCCCAATCTAATTTGAGCCTTGTAAGTAATTAGGCTAACTAGATTTTGAAATCAATTCTGGCTCTGTCGGGCTGCAGCATGACTCACATCAATCCCTACATGGCTCAGGTTCAACGTGAGAGAGAAAGAAAGGAAGAAAGGAAAACCCTGTGAAGAGAGCGATAAAGTGCGCGTTGCATAGTGACTCCGTGCATTATTTACCATGAACTGCAGAATCTAATCAGTTTGAGGTTTTCTCACTTTTCGAACATTGCTTGGTTTCGAAGGATGGTGAAGGTCCCGTGCAATGGACGTATAACAGAAAAATCTGCTATGACATGTGATATGAATTCTGGTTGTAATTCAAGCAAATTTTAGTATGACATTAATGTTCCTAATCTGAAATAAAACATTGATATTTCAAACGAAATCGTTCCAGAAATATGCAATTTGAATTGTTAATGAGCGTGTTGATAAGCAATCTTATTCAATTTGACAAATTTGTTTGTGATTTTTCAGGCTTGAAAACGCCTTTTCGGTGTGCGCGACACCATCTTGACAACTGTGGCCATCGCAATTGGCATATATTTTCCCATATAGGTATAAGTTATATATTGTTGCTGTACTGTGTATACCCATTTCGCAAGAAGCCTCGTATGTGTAATAATATGTACGCCAATTTCTAACTGAAATGCTTGTAGAGCAAAATAATTTGAGGAGCGAAACTGCGGTAAATGAAGATCTTGGTTGATGGAGTGATAATTCTGGGGAGTTGAGATAATTAATTACACGAGGGCACCGAGAAAGACTATATATTAGAAACATTAGTAACTACACAAGGTACTAAATTTGTATAGATTATAACTTGACTTCGTGTGGAGTACGAAGGCCTCCAAAATTGCACAAGTGAAAACGATGAATGCAATTTGAAGTCTTTAAAACACGCGAGTGCACTTTTTCCAAATTGCAGGATGATTACAAAAATATTTATACCAATTAATAATACATGTCAAAAATGTTGAGCACGAAAGTCATGGTCTTTTATTTGAGTGCCTCCCACGACTTTCCTGTTTGACTTTCCTGTTTGACTTTCCTGTTTGACTTTCCTGTTTTTTTTCCTTTTTTTTCTTTACTTTTTTTTACGCAGTAACTTTTTTGGCACAGTATAATGCTTAATTGCAGTATAAATATTAACCTTTGTTTCCGCTAAAATGCAGTATATGCGTAAGAAATTAATCGGATAACTCCATATTGACGACCATTTGTTACACGAAAACACTTAATGAAACCCACCAAAGGTCTTGGAAGGGAAAGGGAAATGTGTTCTTCCTTCATGTCTTTTATTCAAGTTGTGAAAAGCTGAAAGGGCTAAGGAAGGTCGTGTTCAAGTAATTATGTCTTCTGTCAGTCATAAACAGTGTTTTGAATCCATTGGATTGCACTTTCCCAAAACGTTGAAAATGTAATCTTCATGAGCAATCAATAAGTTGTGAATTGTTGAACTTATATTAATTTTACAAATTGAAGCTTTAAATTATAACTTTTTATTTATTAATTGCGTTGTACTTCACTCATGCACGTTCAAAGGAGGATAAGATCCCACTCGTGATGTAAATGTATATGTAGGTGTACAGGATGTCTAAAAAAGACGCTTTGGAAATTCAACAGGCTGTCGTGCATCGCCATCGTAAACGCAGCTAGACAATTCAATTTTAACATAGAACAAAAAAAACAGTTATTTAGCTTGTCAATGATACTCTTTTTATATCGTAACGAACAGAAATGGCCACATAATCGTCAAATAAAAATTGCTGGTCGAAATCACATTCTTCCACCATTGGCAATTGCATGGAAAAAGGAAACATATCTAAAATGATTATCAACTAAAGTTAGTTTAACTCATCAATCGTTTCGGTTTATAGTACAGTGAAACAAAAATAAGGTCCACTATTGCGTTCAACATGGTTCAATTAACCACTGAATTAACAGAGAACATCGCAATCCAAACGTTTTACGAGACGAATACCCTGCAGCAGACTCGCGTTGCTTTTGGTTTGATTATATAAATTTGCCTAATTAATGTAAAGTGTTTTTCAATTCCCAACGGTGGAAGAATGTGATTTCGAACGACAATTTTTATTTGGCGAGAGTGGCCATTCTCATCGTTACGGTTCAAGAAAGGTATCATATAAAGGCTAAATAACAGCTCGTCCTCCTAGGACGAAAGAGCTGTTATTTAGCCTTTCTATGCAAGAATGGAATTGTTTAGCTAAGTTTGTGATGCACAACAGCCTGTTGAATTTCCATAGCGGTTTTTGGAGACACCTTGTATATATTGATATTCTTACTAGTATGAGCCGAGCAAGTAGAAAATTAATGCTACTTGATCACGCGGCTAAGAATCGAACCCCCGACGTATTTCTTGAACGACTCTCTACTTTCTCAGCTTTGAAGTTTGGAACGATGTTATTCACTTGTGATGTTAATGACATGAACGAATTTCTTCCTTTCCATGCCTGGTGCATGCCAGCTATTAATTCAGCGACTGTTGTGCATGATTTTTACCCCTGACATTCTACTCGTGTTGCAAATCATACATAACATTCGCTGGAGTAATATTGTTTACACCAGTCATGGAAAGGAAGAAATTCGTGCATGTCATTAACATCACAAATAAATAACATCGTTCCAATCTTGGCATTGTAGCGTAGAATGTAGAGCTTAGTTCTACAAATGCGAATGTCACGAGTTCGATTCCCAGCAGTGGTGAAGTATAGAAATAATTTTCTGCTTACCAGCTCATACTTGTAGGAATATGAATATACACCTATACAGTTAATTACATCACGATCAATTGTATAGATAATAATGATCAATTTTTACTGTTTCCAGTACTCGCGAATATGGTATAATAAACTGGACAGTGTATGCGTTTATGCAATTAAACTAGATGTATATATGTATGTCTATAATATGAGGGTTCATATACCTGCATTAACTCATAAGTTGTTTATTTAACTAAGAATGTAGCCTAATGTGCAATTATTTCGCATTGTTATCCCTAATATTTTCGCCTTCTGCCAACTGGACTATACTGGATATTTTTTAATATTTTTTTTTAATTGATGATATTTCTGCATCACCCACACAGATATAGTTCCGAGTGTAATTATAATATTGGTTCAGTTTTTTGTCTTTCTTCCCGCCTTCATGTAATTAATCAACCTCGTGCCTAGGTCATTTTGCTTCCGGTCAGCGAAAATGGGCATCGGCCACTTACATGACCTCAATCCCTTCAGCATTTGGGGTGTTCAATTAAGATCATTTATGCGTATAAATTTATACGTATAGAATAATTATATATATTTCATTTACTGACAGGAATAACACCATAGAAATAATAGATATAGAATGCATACTCCTATCTTTTCTCAGTGAATAATTTGTCTCCACAAAATGGCGGATTTATAAGGGCATTTTGGTTCCCAGACTCCCAGGCGGCAGGGAATATCAGTGGGAATTTCGCGCGGTTGCAGAGAGTGCAAATTGTTTTTTCAAATGCAAAGTTTGCAAAAATTTTTATATCGAGACTTAAAATGGAAAAAAAGTTTAAAAAGTGTCTAAAAACCCATTCTAGTGGGCTTTTTTACGAAAAGCAACAGTTCTGAACAGAATATATACAGAAATCATCGTTTAAAAATAAATTTTCAACGTTGTTGTCCAAGCCAAAACAAAACCCGAAATATCAAGACAAACTCAAACTCAATAGGTATGTTCTATAAATATTTCAACTTTTTTATAATATAATATAATATAAATGAAGTTCAGTAATTTTTTAAACTTACACAATTACTTTTCATAGTTTTCTGTGTTGCTTGAGCTCGAGGCAACGCTTTTGAAACCATAGTTTTCGACGATTATTTAGACAATTTACAGTCTATCGACAACTAAATATTTTTGTTTCAAAAAAATAAAAAACCTTAGTTTACATCATGCAAAGAAAAACGAAACCCGACGAAGAAAGAACTATCATTTTGTAATCTTTTAAGATATTAGCAAAACAGTGACAGTAGTGACGTTCAAAGCATGCAAAAATGTTTTATGAGTAAATTTCGAGAAACCGGCGAAAATACTTTGTTTACAAGGCTGCACGATTTTCACCGTTTTTGTAACTGCACATTTGCTTTGACAGTTTGTGTCTTCAAAAAACTCAAAATCTACCCCCAAACTACAAATTAGACAACAGGATAAACGTTTTGACGATGAAAACGTAGTTTTAGCTTTGTTTATACTTTGTAGTTTGCACTCCTAGTCAAATTCAAACGTGGCGGATTTATAAGGGCACGCATGAGAAAAAGTGGAGACATGATTCGTGATCAAGTACGCATTCTATATCTATTATTTCTATGAGTAACACTCAATGGTGCGTATATAACCATAGGTCTCCCGGAAAGTTTTTTATTTAAAAAAAATGCATACAATTTGCTTTATAATGCAATGCTTTGACATGTAATGCTTCAATCTACAGTAAAACCTCTATAATTCGTATTACATGAAGTACGTGTAACACATGAATAGCGTTGCATCATTATGTATATAAATATATAAATATATATATATATATATATATATATATATATATATATATATATATATATATATATATATATATATATATATATATATATATATATATATATTTATCACGTACCTTTATCAGGTAGGAAGCGGCGGGATATTAAAACGATATCGTCCCGGATATCTTTTTTGTCCCGGATATCGTTTTTTGTCCCGGATATCGTTTTTTGTCCCTCTAAATTTCGCGCCTTGTCAAAACAAAGATGGCCGACTCGAGGTTCGTGTTGGTTGATGTCGCCAGTTTTATCGAAGGAAACAAGAACGATAATAGAAAACGAAAGACTTAAATTGTATATTATTTATATGAATTGTCTATTTATTTTCTAAAATCATATTTGTTCAGTGGGCTAAATGATGAATTGTTTTGAATTCTAAAATGATCCTATTTTTTCAAAACTGTTTACTTTTGGGTGTCAAACCCTGATAAAGGTACAAGTATATAATATCGTACTCGGGATTCGGTGATATCAGTTTTATCGCTCTCGGGACGATATCACAATTGTCCCTCGCTCGCAGCGCTCGCTCGTGACAATTGTGATATCATCCCTCGAGCGATAAAACTGATATCACCTCATCCCTTATATGATAACCTATATATATCCCAAGGTTGGCAAGAAAGTGCAAATTCAAAACGGTATACAAAAACTAAATGACGACAAAACTAGTACATAAACATCGAAACTCACTATGCTAAGACATAACTTTAACACTTCTACATTGTGTTTTCTTTTGTTTTCTCATCACATTAAAACGAGTTAATTTTGCGAAAATTCATCAAATTCGTCACTGAATTTGGATATAACTACACGGGAGATGGTTCTTGGCGTTTCGTCGCAAAATAAAGCTCGCCGATTCCCTGGGAAATTTCAGCCAGCCAATCAGAAAGTTTTTTTGAAATTTTAAAAATTAAAAATTTTAAGAAAAAATTATGAATTTGATGTGAAATGACTGGTTGTCATACAACTAACATTTTTATGACAGTGTTCCTATGATTTAAAACAAAACTTTGAAATTACAAACAAAATCGTTCCAGAAATACGCAATTTAAATTGTTTAATTAGCGTGCTGATAAGCATCTTATGCAACATGACCAACTTTATTTTCGATTTGATAGGCCTCGAAACGCCTTTCCGGTGTTCACGACGCCATCTCGCCAAGGTTGGTAAAACAATTGCCTTATCGCAATGGGAATATTTTTCAGTATATAGGTTCAAGTTATTGTTCGCGTACCTTGTATATACTCAACTTAGCAAGATATCCTGTATTATGTTTAATATATGTAAGACACATTTCCAAAATGGGTTGTTGAAAAAAAAATTTAGTAGTGGAAACCGCTGATAAAGGTCTTGTCAATGTGGTAATCATTTTGGGTGTTGATATAATTAATAACATGGGGGCACCGAGACACTATTAATTAGACACGATACTAAATTTGTATATAGATAAAGCTGAATGGGCTAGTCTCGTGTACGCAGTGCGTCCCTATTTTTTAAATTTTGTCGACATTTTTTTTAAGACTAGAAATTACTTTCTTTGAAAAGTACGACACCTAGCCTCGATACTGATTCTCTGTACAACACCGTAAAAATCACATTTTAACTTGGTAGGCTACGAATACTGTTTTATGATTGGACAATTCGAATTTGAGCGACAATATTGTTTAAAATCCGAGCTTATTGATTAGATGCTTTAATTTCCAATAACAATTATATATTTTCCACAAACCGAAAAATATTATTACTATGCCATGGAAGATTACAAATGAAGTACTTATCACTGGAATATAAAATTCCCTATAATTCCAAGTTAAACTCCGTAGTAGCTACACTATTATATTGGAATGGCCTAAAAATAAAAAGATTAATTCTGACAAACTTAATTCTGTCGTCTGCCTCTCGGCTTTTAAACGTCTGATTCGTTACCAGGCAGAGGATCCCTAATTTATTTATGATTCCTAATATCTTTGAAGAAAATTATTGTATTGATGATTGTATTTATTATTCACTGGAGTTTCAGTTTTTAAGAAACGTCAGCCAGTAATGGGTGGTGAAAATTAGTTAAACCCTTTGCTTTCACTAAGGAAATTGGGTATTGAATGGTACTCTACCGGACTGAAGCAATTAAGGTTACAGAACACCTTTGAGGGTTAATTTTGCCTAAATTTTTTTTATTGGTTTCTATGAAAGCATTAGATTAGTTCTACTATCTGACCAAGTTTGAACGAAAAATGTTGAAAACTCGCAGAGTTATTTAATAAAATACATTTCGCTGCAATAAGAAAAACATTGAAAATGTAATATTCAAATTCAATTTTCTCCCGAAGAATTTTACGGTAATTACTGATTTTCAAACGAGTTGTGCTCCTGCGGGTTTTGACCAGTTGTTCTCAAATATTCACAGGACATAGCTAAAGATATCAGTTTCAAAATGGTGTTCGGCTTTTTTTTAATTTTGGATATTTTAATAATAAAGAGCAATTCACTCAAACAATTCAGAAATATATTGCAGTCGTCATAGAAATCGCCATATCAGCGGAATGACAAAATAAACAAAAAATTCCGAACACAATTTTTTAGAACAACTATTTTACTGTATAAAAATGATATATTCATAAATATAACTTAAAACCAGCAGGAGCACAACTCAAAAGCGTAACGGTACCGCGATTTAAGATTTTCCTGAATAATTCTTATATTATTTTATTGTTTGTTAATTTTACAACTTTGCCATATTTTGCATACACTGGCGAACATTTGATGAAAATTTGATTCAAATCGGACTGATATTGAGCGCGCAGTAGCGATTTTCCGCAAAACGCCAAAAAGGGTGTCCTGTAACCTTAAACCAAGTATGACTATGTCAAAATTTGAGATAAAAATATAATATATAAATAAAATGAACATATATTTAAATTTTATTCTGGTTTTACTTGGAAGACATGTGTACTCCCCCATTCCCCCGAAACTACCTCGTTGAACTGTTAACTTGTCTTGCCCTGTCCTTTTGTGTTCTGTCCTGTCCAGTCCAGTCCTGTTGTTTCCAGGCTAGTCCTGCCCTGTCGTGTCCTTTCCTATACTGTTCCTTCCCGTCTTGTCTTGTCTCTTCTTGTCTTGTTTTGTCTTGTCTTCTCTTGGCGCGAACAAAAAAGCTTGTTCAAAGAGAACAAGCTAGAAATACAGGTCACGTTTTCTTGCATAATAATTCACAACCTCAGTAAAGGCTTAGATTTATAAATCCTGCAAAACTTTAGCGGCGCTGACGTCTGAGCTAAAGAAGCTAGTGACGTCAGAATTGTTGTAACTATAAATTGGCACGCCAAGCATGCACCTAGGTAGGGTATAACAAGTTATGTAATTGCATTATCCGCATACTTCAATTCTTTGCCAGAATCAAAATAACCTTATTCCCTCGCTGCTATCTATAATCATCACTCCGAAACTGAACCTGCACATAGCTATATCTCAAGGTAATCTTTAAATAATGACGTCTTGCTCCTTTGAATCTAAAGGGAAACCTGGCTTCTTAACACAAACCATAATATGCCTTTATGCAGACTATATAACGGAACGAAAAACAAGGTGAAATTTCATTCTCTACCAATCAATGCTATTGTTGCTATTTTTGCTCAAAGCCAATCCCAATGCGTAATTGGTTACTACTTCCGGTAAAAACACACATTTGAACAGAAAAATTTAGAATCTTAAATAAAGTTTCAAAGGGGTCAGCATTTTTAAATTTTGATTGGATTTAACGTATCAAGGTAAAATAAGAAATTTTCTAAAAATTCGCCGCTGGGATTTGCTTTTTATTGCCTAGTTTTAAAGTAATCGCAATTCGAACAGCTGCGTATAAATAGCGCGAAAGTTCGAATGTCGATAACATTAGTACTTGGCAATAAAAACCAAATCCCAGGAGCAAATTTTTAGAAAATTTCTTATTTCACCTGGCCACGTTGAATCCAATCAAAATAAATAAAAATCCTGACCCCCCACGAAGTTTATGTTATGTTTTTACCGGAAGTAGGCTTCTGCGCTCGCAGGGAAATCACCAACAGAAACTAATTACGCATTCTGATTGGCTTCGAGGGATATTGTCAACAAATTCGCTGATTGATAGCGAATGAAATTCACCCTTGTCGGAACGAATCAAAACGCGCGATATCTGGTTTAAATTAACGTACCAGCGCCCTAACCACTGAGCTATACAGTACTGAACCGACTGAAGGGCAAAGCGGGATTTCGAAAATTCTGATACGATAGGCAGTACGTTAATGATTGGGAGATGATATTTTCTGACGCAGTATGAAATGAATAGTGAGTTTTGTTCTTAACAAGGCACATGTACAGTAAGGACAACAACCATATTCACTCATCGCAGAGCTAAATAAGTTTCTACGCTGGCTTAGAAACTCACAATTAATGTTTATTAATTTAGTTTGCCACTCAATGAAACGAATTTCGCGAAAGAATATTGCCGAATTGCTACAGAATCCAAGGCAAGCACCAACAATTTTAACGTCTTTATCCGAGAAGACGCGAAATCTAACAATTACACTGATGACAATGTAAAGACAATACTGTAGTCTCCCTTTCATTTAATACTATTTTAAGACCTTGAGTAGAGGTCCGACCGGGGATTGAGCAAGGGGCTCTCAGCTTGTATGGCAAGTGCGTTGACCACCAGACCACAAGGGATGATAACGTACTGTAATGCTGATCGTATTTGGAAATAGGATGTACGCGCTTGAAATACATATATATAATTTGTATAATAAATCTGTGGCAATTGATCGCTCACAGTTAATTACAATATTCGTATCATTCCAAAAAAACCCAGACACGTTAACATAAAGAACTTCTTGCAAATTTTCAGCAAAACAAAAAAATTATGGTGCATGCATGCATGTATGCATGGCCTTCGTTCGCTCTATATTTACGCATTAAAGTCCAGTATCCAATGTATTAGAAGAGTATCAAAGAATAATCACACGTAATTTGCAAACTAAGTTTATTTTTAAAAAGAAAATTTCGAGAAATGTGCACATCTTTTAACTACATGTTATATTTCAAGGAAATTTGGAGTTATCTACTTGGAGATCGATATCCTTTCTTAGCCAGGTATTCTTGTAGGTATGACGTAGTTTATCCGTAGTAGGGATGGCACTAGAAAAAATAGCAAATAATTTAATAGAAAACCATACAGTAGTTAAATTAATTAGAATTATACGCAATGGTAAATATACGTTCAGCAAGGGGTTCAATGATGATACCATTGTACAATAAGTTTAACTTCATTCCTGGTTGAACTTCGTTCCATTATATATGTATTCCGAACAAACGCCTTCAGAAAATTTAACACGAAGGACCATCCGTAAATATTCAGATGGGAAAAATTTTTTCTGGAACGTATTACAAGGTAATATTAAGACTTTTTATTCCAACTACGGCGCTAGCTATATTGTTGATCAATCAGACCCGTTTAGTCGAAATCAAATCTCTCATGAATTGCGGCCGTCATATTAGCTGCAAATTATGGAACCTTTGATCGCATCTCACATCCCCCTCACATGCACACATACACACACAGGATCGAACCTGAGACTCTCCTTTTTTAGAGCATCTCCACCTTTGGGTCCAAATAGTCAACGACAATATTTCGTACACATACTAAGGTGATGCCACTACGTGGAATAGGAGAAATATTTAAGTATTCATTAACACATTACTTACCTTTCTGTATCTGCACACATGTCTGCAAACACGACCGCAATAATAACGTCGGTTGTAACATTTTGTGCAGTAACTTCGCACACGTTTGCAGACGCGAACTCTATATGGAATCTTTTTGATTCTCCACAAGTAACGACGTCTCCCATATCCGTAGTAATGAGGGTTGCGGTATTTGTATCTAACGATTCTGTATTTGATCACCCTACGGCATACTCTCTTGGTACATCTCACTCGTCTGCAGACACGTCGAGAGCACACTTTGGCTTTGCATACACGGCGGCATCCACATGCCTTACACCAACGTCTACCTTTCCTGTATCGTCTGCATGCCCAACCTGAATATATAAACCACATTGTAGGGAATTCGGACAAATAAAGCTTTATTAAGCCTTATGTCAATGTTGTTGAGGTCAGAAAATAGAAACAGAAGATGATGGTTAAACAAGCATTGGTGATTTTGAACGTATAGAAATCCGACCATGTGATTACAATCGTGTGAATCTAGTGCAGCTCTAGGATGTTAGTGGGCTTTTTGCCTAGGCAGAATAATTTAGAAACACTACTTTCCTAGTTGTAAGGGGAAATGATAGTTGAATTGAATATTGAATACAAAAATATTGTTCTTGCTAATGGAGATACCCAAAGGATTAAAGTTCCTCACAAGGATATTGCGAGAATGGAATTCACTGACTCCTTCAGCCAGTTTTACCCATCGTACGTCAATTTTATATATTTCAGATCAAATTAGAAAATTGGATGTGAAATAAAATTTAGTTGCAAAAATCCATGTTAGGACGTAGCTAGGACATCTGAATGAGGACAAAAAAGTGTGATATATCTGCTAAAATTTGAAAGTTTTTTTTTTAAATTCAATGTCTATATCACACTGGAAAATTTTTTTTCATATTTGTCTTACTATTCACCATGCGATTCACTAATCCTTTCAATAAATATTTCAACAAAGAAAAAGAAAATTAATTTAGAAATATAATATGATAACAATGGAAAAACACTGACCTCGTTTCTCGGGCTCATCATCTGCGATATCGGTTGTTTCGTCTATAGAAAGAAGCATATTTTTTCAATTGTTTGTTAATTAATTCATTTAACAAACAAATAAATAACTATATTCTGTATATTTTTCTGTGCTTACAACCGCTTTTTGGGCGGTATATTATTGAAAGAAAGGAAAATCCAGTGAGATTTGTGGAACTAAATAGTATTATATGTTGGAGGATTTGTGAATGGAAATTTTGAGTGTAAATTTTATCCTAATTTCTTTTGACTTGAATTATAGCAGAACCCTGGCAGAAACCAAACCTGCAACAAGGAATATTAATAGCTCAGTCATATTTCTTTATGCTGATATGACAGAAACAAATTACCAGATTGTATCTGGTATCCAGAAAAGAGGCAAATGACGTCCATATTGGTATATGAACGCAGGGCGAAACTTGAGGGGGTAGGGGGTGTGGCGCCTCAGCCCAAAAAAGTTTCGCCCGTGCATGCACGTTGTGCTGCTAATGTCATTTCTAGCTACTGATAGAAAGGGTTATCCATAATTTGGACTGAATTTGTTCTCAATAACCAACTTCTTTCAATTCAAATCGAGTTCGCAATGCTACATAGCCATAACGTGCACGATATTAGAAATATTGGTTTACCTTCATCTTCTTCGACCTCTTCGTCTTCTTGCGCACTGTCATCTTCTTGCGGATCGGCATCTTCTTGCTCATCGTCATCTTCCGTCTCTTTTTCGTCACTTTCAGTCTCGAGTTCGTTGTTTTTCGTTTCAGTCTCGTCAGCTTCCGTCTGTTCTTCGTCAGCCATCACATCAGGAGTCTCTTGCTGATCTTCCATCTTGGAAGCATCGACAGCTGTTGTCTCATCATCAGCGCGGGCAACTTTGTTGGGAAAATAATTAAATTTATTCTATCAAGCCAAAGTGTTTCGCAGTATCGGGGTCAGGATTTGGGTCTGCAAATTTAGTATTTCCTTAAAACAGATCATTTACAAGGAATAGATTAAGGACACAGTTGCGAAGCAACTTGACTACGTATCTCACTTGGTAGACTAATGCACGAACAAAAGGTCTAAGGCTGGAAAAGCATCCTTGATATGTGGTTTATAAATTAAATCGATTCACACAAGACAATCATTAGAAACATTAAATACGTTCATATCATACGTACCAAGCACACAGGCTGAAGCCACCAAAAGGAAACACAACAGTGCAATATTCTTCATTGTTCTTTGAGTTATCTTCCAACTCTTTCTTTCTTGAAGACCAAAGATGAAGTGACGAACTGATGAAACTCGCACCTTTTATATTCTTTCGAAGGCTTCATTATGCAGAGCTCACGACGACCTTGCCATGACTACAATATTCATTAGGGTGATTGACAACATTGTAAGCCAATATAATGAGTGCTTTGACATATCTTTTTTAGCATCTTAATTGTAAAGAAAACTTTGAAGTTAATATGCTGTAAGTTAATATAAAGAATCACATACGCAAAAGCCACTATATCTCAAGTGCTTCAGTTTTTGAACTTCCAGAAGGCATATTGTAGGCGTGTTTTTTGTACGTCGGATTTAATTGGAACTAATTTAAATACGTTTGACAAGAACACAACTACCTGAAAAGTACTAGGAGAATTTCGACGTTTTGAGAATGCGGTTTCGGAATTTAAAGTATTATTAGGTTGACTTTTAGAGATTTTCATTTTAAGCAACAGAATGTACTGTACTTGGACGGACTCCCTTCATGACTTCCACAAGCAAACTTATATCACAAAAAAATGTTGAGATATTTTAATTTGTTTACATCTGACGATGCAGGACAAAATCAATATAACGAAATTAATTCAGAAGGCGAATCTAATTCTAACAGTGCATTCAATTCCTTCGATTTTATTTATTTTTATTAGGTCGCTTTCTTATAAGCCCTTAGACAAACCTCCTTCGTGCTAGAGTTGTTTAAAGTTACAGGTTTACTGACCACTTTATAGTAATTATAAATGTTATAGCAGGTCAATATCCCTGTCAATAGGGATATTTACCACTGCTGTAAATATATCATTGTCTTTACCGGAAAGTTTTCTACAATAAATAAATCTGCTGATTTCAGCAAACCAAAACATATGTATTACCGTAAGAATGGAACTTAATAGGATTAAATGACCTTAAAAATATCATTTGTCTTATATATTTTTGTTAGCTGGACTCTATAATCCCTGACGTATAACAGATGAACATACACCTGTCATCCTAGTCAGGTCTGGAAATGGATATTTCCTGCTTTTTCTACAGTTCATTTCGCTGAAGCTCTTCACGCCTAAGCACATACAAGAAAGTATCGAGAAGAAAGGAAAACCCCAGGTAGAGAGCAATAAAGTACATGTTGCTCCAAGCTGTTTCTCATATTGAACAAACGATACAATTAGTCTTTAAACTTGCAGTTTTACATTTGATTGACAGTTAGTTCCGATTTGTTCTCCGAGTGCAGGTCTGGTCTAGAAGTGCTATATTCGAAGTGTTCTTTTAAAATCAATATTGTGCGAAACGTGCATTTTAGAACCATTGAAGTGCATTATTAATTGATGTTGGTTTACTACAAATAAGGGAAAACGAACGGTACCAAAAGAGAACTTTTTTTTTTTGTGAACCAATCATTTCTAAATCTTTTATTAAAAATACACATTAAAATTATAGTTACAATAAAAAAATGTTTAAAGTTAAACGATTAGTTGCATTTGTTTATTAGTTTTCCAAACGAATTCGTATGTTCCTATACAATTACAGTATAAATTTTGTTTAGCAGAACTTGTGGTTTTTGCTAGAACCAAACGTGAAACACTCTTATTATACATGCAATAATCGCTTATGTGCACTCGGGATTATGGATTAATATTTTATTGATCAAGTGGTAGGCAAACAGTAGCCGCGAGCTCTCAGATTGCAATAATTGCGAGATAATCATTTTCACCCTGTATATACCCAGCAACCCAGCACCATCTGAAAGCCATTGTATATTAATTATATGCAAACTAGTATAAAGCAATGACCATTTTGTCGCCAATTTCTGGTTCTCAAAAAATTGCTTGGTTTCAAAGGACGGCGAAGGTCGAGTGCAATGGACAAACAACCGAACAAAGAATCTGCTGATATGACGTGTGATATGAAATCTGGTTGTCACACAACCAACGTTTTTATGACAGTGCTCCTATAGTTTAAAATAAAACTTTGAAATTACGAACAAAATCGTTCCAAAAATACGCAATTTAAATTGTTAAATGGCGATTTGGTAGGACTATCGAAACGCCTTTCCGGTGTTCACGACGCCATCTCGCCAACGCCAGTAACACAATAGCCTTATCGCAATGGGAATATGTGTCCGTATATAGGTTCAAGTTATTGTTCGCGTACCGTGTATATACTCAACTTAGCAAGATATATATATCCTGTAATGTATGTAATATATGTGTTGAGACAAATTTCCAAAAAGAGTTGTTGAAGAAAAAATTCGGTAATGAAAACCGCTGCAAAAGAAGATCTTGTCAATGTAGTAATCATTTTGGGGTGTTGATATAATTAATAACATGAGGGTACCGAGAATTAAGACAATATCTGAAGCACTATTAATCGGACACGATACTAAATTAGTGTAGATAATAATTATACTCGGGTGTGGAGCATGAAGACCTTCAAAATTGTCTTGTCAAAGGGACCGCGAATACAATTTTAAGTCTTAGAAAACACGGGAGTACACTTTTTCCAATTGCAGGATGATGAACAAAAATATTACAAATTAATAAAAAAATTCCAAAATTGTGAGAACGCAACTGACGGTTATTTGAGTGCTTCCCACGTCTTTCCTGTTTGGCACGGAGTAACTTTTTTTGACAAGTGCAGTCTATATGCATAATTAGGTAATTTGTTGCCCCAGGTAATTTGTTGCCACATATTATTAAGTCACATATATACGTGTATTTTTTATGGCAAAGCTGTCGACTTATCAGCGCTGATGCTTTCCAATGCTATATATGTAATATATTATTGTCATTATCAGAAAGTTTGCCACAATAAATAAACCTAAACATCTGTACAGTGTACAGTGTACAGTGTACAGGGAACTTAATAGGATCAAATCACATTTAAAAAAATATAGTTTGTCATAAATATTTCTGTTAGTTGAATCTGAAATTTCGGACGATGAGATGAATATTTTTTCTGTTTTCCTACAGTTCCTTTCAGTGAAGCACTTCCCGCCTAAGCACATAATTATATGCAGATGTCGAAATAGCAGTTACGTTTTTCTCTTTTAACTTCAGCCTCATTTAACCGCGTCTCCCATGCTAATTATCCCCCAGTGTAGAGGCGTTGAAACAAAACAAGGTCAAACTTTTTATTTAGGCACGGATCGCTATATACGCAGGCCCGGCATGAACTAACTAATCATTCTCGATATAAATTAAAGCGAGAGTATGACTGCATGAACAAACGTTCTTTATAGCGTTCACTGGTACAATACTGTGCATACTCTATATTTAGTGTAAATATTATGTATCATTTTCTCATGTATTCATCACGTGGCTGTTATTTCATTTCTCCCACTCCGAATGGAAGCAAAATGCAACACTTGATGTTTTCCTTAAGTTTCTTTTACTGTGGCACTTAACGTCTGAGCGCAATAAGTATCAAAATAACAGTTACCTATTTTCTATTTCATCTCTAGCCTTGTTTCCGCCGATTCCGTTTCCCGTGCTAATTATTCATCAGTCTAGAGGGGCCGAAACAAAACAAGGCCAAGAACTTTATTTATATATGCCTGTCTTGGATTTACTAACCATTCTCAATGTAAATTATAGCGAAATATGACTGCACAAACGTTCTTTATCACGTTCACTGGCACAATAACAAAAATAAAACATTTCTGGAGCATCATCAGGGCTCGATGCTTTTACAATACTATAACTAAGACTAAAAATAGTATGATCTAAGACGAAGATTAGATGCATGAATAGATAAATTTTAAACTTAGTTGCAATTAATCAAAATATTTTGTTAAAGATATTATGTTTTCACTAAGCCTTAAAAATGCCTGTAGGATATCATTCAATTATGATCATGTAATGAGTTAAGGGTTCCACAATTTAGGAGCACATCAGAGTATTTGACTGTGAAAAAACTAGTAAGTTCTGTGATGTTGACATATTAAAAAATGCTTTGGTTTGTTAAAAGTCAAAAGTTGGCTATTATGTATTATCCTGAAATAAATTCTGCCTCTGTCCGGCAGCCAATAGAGGTGTTTGAAAAGCAGGGTGATGTTAATATTTATTTACAAGACATGATCATTCATTCATCACACAGCTATTATATATTAATAATCCCCCAGTCCAGAATTTATGTACACAAATTGCGAGAGGCCTAAAAGGAGACTAATACGTATTATAAATATGCAGATTTCATGCCATAGTTAGCCTAAAGGGTGTTTGTGGATAGAAATTTCGGCGAACCGAACGTTATAATATTATGCATACTAGAATTCTTCAGAAATCGAGAAAGATAGAACATAAATCTCGATATTTACCAAGAAGTGGCATTCTTACAGTACTTGTATTATTACATTATACTGCATAGTTCTATAGAATATCCGCTCAATTATGATTATTAATTGAAGTGGTTTTGCTATACACACACGAAACTGAAGTACCAGGAAACACTCTTCTTACATATTCATATTCATAAACACTTCACGCCTAAGCACATATAAGCAGGTATCAAAATAACAGTTAATTATTTTCTCTTTTAGTCCCTCCATCATAGCCCACTATAGTCTAGGGGTGGTGGTGGGGGGTTAAAGATGACTAAGGAAGAAAGAAAGAAAGAAAGAAAGGAAAACCCCCAGGAAGAGAGCGATAAAGTCATGTTGCTCAAAGCTTTACTCATATTGAAAAACGATACAAGTAGCCTCTAAACTTGCAGTTTTACATTGTATTGACAGTTAGTTCTGAGTTTTCTCAGTGCAGGTTTAGAAGTGCTATATTTGAAGTGTTTGTAATCTGAAGTTCAGGCCCTAATTTGAAATAGGGCCTGACACAAAACCTATCTAAACCGTGGGACGCCCACATGTTATTTTTAGACACAATCATACAATATGATTGACACTGTGACTGTTATGTGTTATAGATTTCATTGCACGAAAAATATCAGAGGGAAAATATAAAGATATTCATTAATTTCATTTCATGTTATATTCTCATGAACATGTCCGCAGAGTGTGCATTTTAAACTTAAAAATCCAAGGTACTTTTAAGAGTTCAGTTTCCCCATTTAATTTAACCAGAGCAAACAAATATTTAGTCTGTTCTGTGCAACAGCGCAAGGACTGAATTCAACTTCAACTTTATTTAAACACGGTACTATTTCACAGTATATTAAAATATATGCAAATAGTTTTGTTCTCTGCGATCTACTTTCCGCAATTCGAATTAAAGTGCGTCAAGAAAATACGCTAAAATCCGATTTGTTTCATCATTAAACGAGGGATCTAAACAAACGGCTTGACTGCCAAGCTTTCTCAACGTCTCAACTTGCTGGACGCGGATATACAATTTCTAACGGGATAACAACAGCAATAACGAAATTCTTTATCGTACCATGATGAAGGCGATATGGCTCAGAAAACAACGCCGGTAAGACCTGATAAATAAGACTTTCACCGAAGCCAGTTGGCAGAACGGCAAAGACATCTTGGGCCTTGGCTGTCAACAACAAGCTTTCGAATGCACGACTTTTGCTGTTCTTTAAGCGTCGTGTGTCCAAACTTCGTAAAAGATTTTGATAAAGCCCTGTGTTTGGTTTATTTTCTGCCATAAAGCATATTAAAAACAAAAGAAATTCGAAGAAATTCGACAATGCTATTACGATAATCACAATGCAATTTGATACATGCGTTTGACCTTGCCACACTGACCTAGCAATTTACAAAATATTGTTTATGTGAACTTCCAACCAATCAAAATCTTTCATGATGCTGATCAACCAATCAGATTTCCCGTCCACCAGATGGACGGGAATCCCACGGTTTAGATAGGTTTTGTGTCAGGCCCAATCTCGTACCCAGAGCCATCGTTGAGTGGCTCTGGCCACACGGGATTGAAAAACGATCCTGATTGGTCGATCCATAAGCTATTGGACCCATACCCCCAGTGGCGTTCACATGCGCGGCCAATATGAGTGAATACGATATATTTGCTAATATTTTGTCTGAAAATTTGCTTATTTCGACGAATTTTTTGTTGCTTTTCGTCCGAAAAAGCGGTGAAGGGATTAAGGAGTTGATTTATGCATACTTGAATTCATTTGGGCAAAATAACAGCCTTCGTTATGGTAATAATTCATACTCTTGGTTCACCCTGAGTGAGTATTGATGGGAATGATGGCATATGTCCTTGATCTACTATATTGGAGTGTTATTATTGAAAAGAAATTCAAGCGTACAAGACTTACAAGCATACACGTATGCTAGGACTGTGTTTATACAAGATTTGGGATTTTTTAATTGAACTGTAAATGTATGAATCATCATGGTGTGAATGTAACAAACAAACAGCATTTGGATTCTTTTGCAACTTGTCAATTCGTTTGATAGAATTGTTTGGTGATACAATATATTGTTTCTGTTTACAGTATTGCCTGTACAACTCTGTCAGAAACATTGGTGTTATAGCAGCCCAAAAAGGTTTAATTAATTTAAAGGCCATGTAAAGTATGTAAAGTAAACAAACCCTTTGTTTACATTCTGAAGTCTGAACCCAGTGCTATAGTTGTAAAATATTAGATATGCATTATACTGAATTTTTAACTCTTCTGGTTTGCTATGTTTGTAAATGAATACAGACTAGAGATTCAATTGAAGAAAGTTTGGAAGGTGCGAAATATTAATAACATTCCAATGGTCGGGACCCGACCATTGGAATGTAGGCGGAACAGACTTTACATGTCTTTAATAATTGCAGTATGTACTATGTGCAGTATGTAATAACATGAAACCATCTACACAATTTATACAATGGTGCCAATAAAACTGGTAAATAAATGATTGTCAACTATTCGACAGTCTTGCTGTGCTGAGTGGTTATATAGTAATACTACCTGGAAAAAAAAAACAAGCAGAAACTCAACGTTGGCTACTAACTCTTGACGAAGGGCCTTCGCTTGAAACGTTGAATTTCTGCTTGTTTTTTTTCAGGGAGTACTATATATAAATATAAGATGTTCATTCTTGTAATGGACAATTGAGTGTGCAACAATTAACAATTGTATTTGAAGTCCACTGCTCAACAAAAATAACTTTACTTTTTCAGAATAAGACTACTAAAATCAAATTTTAGGTTTATTAGTGAACTATCATATAATGTTATAATACATCTTTAACAATTTCAGGATTGCTAAAAGTAGGGATGCAGCCATGCAGGCAAAAGCCTAGCTCAAAAGGGGCCTCCAAAGCACAAAGAGTTGTGTCAGTGCCAGATAATATGCAATAAAGTGTAATATATTGTAAAACACCTCTTCTCCCATTTAATAATTATGATATCATAGGAGGGACCCCTGGGAAAACTTAATGATGTCATATGGTTCCCCTGGTACCATAAAATGAATTGCAAGTTCTGAAAAACCTTTGATTTCAATAATGTGTCATTCTACACATCAGCTTATCAAGCAATACAAGCATGAAAGTATAAATGATATTACACTTATTCAAACAGGACATTGTTATTAGTCAGACCAGGTGTGACTCTTGATTCTTTAACCATGCAGTAACTACTTTTTATCACATAATTAATGAGCAATGCACTTCTCCAACGATACTATTCCATTCTTGAGTATTTCATTATATTACACTCTTCATTATAATGCAACATGCCAAGTTGTTTACTGATCTAGAATACAGGACTGTATAATTTTAACTTGAGACTGATTTCTCCATTGCTTCTGGAGGTATTGGCATAATAAAAAGATTATCACATTTGCAGTCACAGGTGTATCTGAAAGAAATGTAAAACTAAAGCTATAAAATAGTCAAGTTAAGTAAAAATTAAACACACACTGGTGTACTGCTACAGGCTTTTGCTTAATTGCTACAGCAGTACAGACCTTCCTTATTGAGAAAAAATCTTTATTTTATCATTGTATAAAGAATAGCATTATGGTTTTAAATTCTCGAGGTACGATAGATTTCAAATAATGCATGTATAATAGTATTAAATAAATACTGGGTATGATCAGCTCACAGGATGCTATAGAATTTCTGAAAATATGCTGCATTTTTAGGGGGTACACAATATATTTTGTGGTATTCTAACTAGACTACAATTAGGATGGAAATTCAGAGCCCGGGGTTAAAAAATTAACTTTGAAACAAAAGAATGACATGAACAATATAAATTGTAACAAATTAAAGAATATTTAAAGGCAAGCAAGGCAGTGTGCAACAAGCAATGTTCTTGCTCAAGAAAAGCCTATTTAATAAAGCTGAGAGTTATTAAATTACTTTTATATAA